TATATATATATATATATGTATGTATATATGTCTTCAGGGTACGGATCCCCTGCGATAAACAAGGGACTACTGTACTCAAAGAGCTTTATAACACAATCTGTACCCTCATTTACTCATCGACACACACACAGCACTCTACTACATCTCTACAAAGCTAATCTGAATCTGAAGTGACTAAATGGATTTATGGATGCAGTTAGAGGGGACATGTAAGTAAATGAAGTGAGGACAGAGTGATGGCAAATCAAACATAAAAAATTTATCACGTTTGATTGTTTTGAGCCATATATTGTAAATAAGGACTTATACAAAATGTAACTTTATCGTGTCGTGAACTTGGCCTCTGACCAAAACCTGTCTCTGAAGACCTTCATGGGACAGGAACTGTTATTTCATTGATTTGAATCCAGAAATACAAATTAGCTCATCCAGAGACTGTCTAATTGTATCCTGAAGTAATCAATTGAAAGAACACTCTTTTATATTATCATTACTATTTTACAATATCTTGATAAATCAAAAGTGTGTTTAGTTCATACCATTTCTAAATGTTGAAATGAACCACTCATTGTAAATCAACTGTGAAACAGTATTAATGATTTTTTAATCCTCATTTAAATTAGAAATCAAGTTAAATGTCTATTTTACAAAGTAATTATGCATTTTGATCTTCTGTCTGAATAAGAGAGTAGTGATGTCGGTCGAAAGTCAGAAAGGAGTTATTAGAACGAAGTGGATTGTTTTTAAACCTAGCAGACGGTAAATAAGAAGCTACTGGCACTGCTTGCTCTCACTTCTTCAAAACATTTCTTCTGTCTGTACTGGACGTTCCTAAAACATTCCTGCTGTTTTCTTGACTTGTAATGACCCTCTGACATCACTAGAACCACCCCCTGTTGGTTGTTTCAACCAATCAGGAAGTCCTGAAGTGACCGGAAGTGAGAACTCTTTAAGAGTCCACACTTCCTGGAAGTTCTCAGTCTGTCGAGGTCTCCTGAGTCTTCTGGAGGCTTCGAGTCTCTCAGGCTTCAAGTTCTTCTGAGTCTTCAAGTGGGTCTCTGGTGAAGTCTAGTCTTAAACTCCATCTTCGGAGTCTGTGATGGATTCTTCCACATCTGAGTGGAACCTCTGAAGGACTCACAGCTTGCTGTGTATCCACCTGGGAGATGAGCGTGTTTGTTGAACGGAGTAAACGACACGACTCCTGACATGGCCAGCCGCTCTTACTGGAGACGCTGAAAGGTAGCGTTGAAATGGTCCTCTGTACCTGAGTTGATTTATCTTCTGCAAAGGTAACGAGTCGTCACGCACCGAGTGTACCGGAGAGTTGGGCTGGTGTTGAAAGAAGCGTGCTAATTCTGGTAAACAAAACACCTCCCCTACAAGTGTCTTTAAACTCTTCATTTCCCATCTTTAAACTCTTCTATTTTTCCAGTAATCTAGATGCCTTCTTCAAGTCCTGTTGTCTTATTAAGTAAAATGTGCCAAGTTTTATTAATCAGAACCAGATCAGCTAATCAAGTATACAATGTTTTGATGTTAAATTTTGATTCTGTTCAATAAATGACCACATTTATTCTGATAGGTCAAAGGAAATTAACGTCTCATGTCACTGATTAAACAATCCACTCACAGTTATCTCAGTCACATATCAGTAATTTAACTCGAAAAAGAGAGAACCTGTTATATCTATATCTAAATAATTAGTAGTCAAGGGCAGCTAACCTAGCCCTTAGCACACTACATTCACATCATTATAACTTTTTAGCCTTGACTCGTGTCTTAGTCTCCACTACAACCGATGTATGTCTTCGCCCCAGAATGCATTGCGCCGTTCAAATAACGGTGATGTCCTTTGGGAAAAATTTAATTAACAAATGTAATTTTTAAAGCACTTACTGTTGATGTTTGCACATGTCACAAACAACAACTTTTATTAGAATAGAGAAATAACATTTTAAAACCAATATGTGAAAGTAGTTGGAAATAAGGATTTTTGTTTTGTCAGATGTATTTAAACTTTTTGTTCTCTTTCTTCTTAAAGATTATAGTCAAGCTGGATTTTCGAGGTAATGACCTCCAGGAAGTTCCTGCAGGTGCTTTCAAACACACTCCCTACCTGACTCACCTGTCGCTGCAGGGCTGCAACATCCGTAGAATTAAGGAGGGGGCTTTCCGTGGCCTCGGTCGACTAAGCTTCCTCAGCCTCGCAAACAACAACATAGAAATACTTTATCAGGTAATCAAAAACAGACATCGTTCTTTTGTAGTCAGTGAAACGTGGTGGCGCAGAGGTTATAGAGAAGGCGAGTCTGATCGTTACTTTTCATTCATTCACCCTTTATTTATACAGGTTAGTCTTATTGAGGGGAGTGGTGGTGCAGAGGCTAGACAAGTTGGGCCTGTGATCGGAAGATCACCGGTTCAACTCCCGGTACAGACGACATAAAAATGTGGGTGGTATAGGTGAAGCACCCACACCTGCCTCCACCCTGGGCCCTTGAGCAAGGCCCTTAATCCCCACCATTTGCTCCTCTGGGTGTCCTAGATAGCAGATCTAGATCTGCTCCACAGAGGCTGTGGCAGCTCAGTGTCTGTGGTTGTGTCAGGAAGAACATCTGGCGTAAAAATAATTGCCAAGTCTTTGTGCGACTTAGTTTTCTGTGGAGACCCCTGAAGAAGAGAGCAGCCTATCTCATTGAGCCACACAGGCTCATTTACAAGAGAGACCTGTTTTAAACAAAGAACAGAACAGGAACAAACAATAATAGACAGTCACATAAAAAGCATATAAGATGAAAAGTAAATAGAGGAAATGAAATAAAAACAAAAAAAAAAAAAATCCAAAAAAAAAATCAGACAAAAACAGCTACATTATAAAGCAGTGTAAAATACTAAAAACAGACCCGTTTGGTTTTGCCATGAAATTAGCAGTTGTTTAAAATTCCTTAGAAAGGTCAAAGGTCGAGAGCTTCTGTTCTTTTGCAAGGTGTTCCAGGAAACAGGAGCAGAGTAGGAGAAGGTCCTTTTGTCTAGTTCAGTCCTCACTGAGGGAACACTGCAGGTAATGATGTCCTGAGAGCGCACGCTGTAGCTGCACTCACGCAGAGACATGTAGGAGGAGATGTATGAAAGCAGCAGACCAGGAAGTGATTTAAAGATGAAGAAGTACCAGTGAGAGAGTCTGTGTGAAGTTAATGATGTCCAGTTAACCAGTGAATACTGGGTGCAGTGGTGGGTACGATAATCACAGCCAGTTATGAATCTTAGTGCATCATGATAGACAGCATCCAACATCTGCAGCATCCAACATCTGCAGCATCCAACATCTGGTGGGTTCTTGTAGGAGCGTTCATGTAAATGTCACCATAGTAAATGGAGGGAAGGATTGTAGCAGTTACAAGCAGTTACTGGCCGTTACGTCAAATTAGTGATATTATTATCAAGCCTGATACCAGCCTCAATTACAGAAACACCCTGATACTTCAAACCGATAACACTTTTATGCTTGGTGATGCCATGTCCTCTTCCATTATGCAAGTAACTGAGGACAAAAAATAAAAAATGTCCATAGTTCAGAGATATTTTAGGAGAAACACAGGTGACGTTAAGTCATAAGACTGTTTGATGTATTCTTAATAAAATAAATGTTTCTAAAGTCATTTTGTCATGTTTTGTATCAACACATTAACTACTTGGTATTGGTACCCAGTAACGTCAAATACCCAATCTGAAGTACCGGTACTTGTTCTCGGTCTGAGAAAGAACTAGTATTGAGACACCCCTACTTCCAAAATTTGTGGGAAAGGTGAAGCACCCACACCTGCCTCCACCATCATTAGCCTCATTCTGGGCCCTTGAGAAAGATCCTTAACCCCACCATCTGCTCCCTGGGCACTCTAGATAGCAGCCATTTGCTCCACACATGTTGGCTGTGGAGGCTCGGTGGTCCGGGGTTGTGTCAGAAAGAGAAATTGCTAAATTCTTATGTGAGTTTATTCATTGTGGATAATCCTGAGCACGGGAACAGATGAAAAAAAAAAACACATTTATTTTTCACAAGTGCAAAGATCAGCTCACATAACTATACACGCTTTAGTTCATCACTGTAGGAAGATGGACAGAAACAATATTTGCTCTCTCAGTTACGAAAACAATATTTGCATATCATATTTATTTTACTTTTTCAGCTGACTGCAAAGTTTGTTTTATCTACAGTGATCTAAACTGTCAAGGAAACGGAGGGGGGTCATCTACAAAACCAGCCTTTGAAAGCTTGGTTCAATGACATGATGCAAAAATGAAAAAGTTCAAGGAAATGAAATGCTGTTTTAGTTTTTGTGTGTACAGTGCTGTGATGCACTAACCCTACAAACAACAGAAAACATGACCCTGTGTAACCTGAAGACAGAAGTGGGTGGACTTTTTCAGGTTGCGTTCAGAATCTCTGTTGGTTTTTTTGTTCAATGCTGGCTTGACATTTATGTTTAGGTTGCTGTTAGTGACTGTAAAAAAATACACCACAAGTCAGATGGTCCTCTTGTCCTGAGCCTGGTTCTGCTAAAGGTTTCTTCCTCATGACAGAGTTTTTCTTTCCACTGTCGCCTTCGTGCTTGTTCAAGATGAGAGTTCTGTGATGGAGTTAAACTCAAAGCTGCTCCTCAGATAAATAATAATAACTTATTTTTTATATATGGGGAGTGGTGGCGCAGAGGTTAGAGAGGTGGGCTTGTGATCCGAAAATCGCCGGTTCACGCCCCGGCCCCGACAACATCAAAAATTGTGTGGGTGGGGTAGGTGAAACACCCACACTTGCCCCCACCCTCATTCACCCCACTCTGGGCCCATGAGCAAGGTCCTTAACCCCCACCATGTGCTCCCTAAACAGGTCCCTCTTGAAAATGAGTTCTCGTGGCTCAATGAGACTAACCTGTATAAATAAAGGCTAAATGAAAAAAAATATATATATATGAACGTTTCTGTTCAGTTCCCTGAGATGACTTCTGTTGTGACTTGGAGCTATAGAAATAAACTGAATTGAACTGAACTGAAGTGAATAGAGAACCCTGTCCTGTCAGCAAGTTTTGGAATTACAACCATGAAAGTAAAGTAATGATGGGATGTTGTGTTTGTGATGCTATCATTAGATAAGATGATGTAACCTTACATCCTAATGGAAAGCCTGGCTCTTATAGTCACGGTTTGCCCCTGTGTGTCTGATGTCTGAAATATTGATTCTGGCTAAAAGGAATGATGCTCATCTTAGTTCAAATCATCACTTTAAGAAAAAATGAATTTGGACATGTGCTTTACAGATCTTTAGGCTCATTCAGAATTATATGAGGAATTGGATTTCCATTATTGTCTAGCCTGTTTGCTTCTTCATTAGTTCCTGTGCTGACACATTCTTTATTTTATAGCAAATTTTAAAAATAAAGCTGCTCTCATTCACATATTTTAAGTCTGACATATGTCATAGCACATGGGAATAACTTCTTTGTTTTATGCTTTGTAATCCAGGAGTCATTAGATGGCCTAACCTCGCTGAAGCAGCTCCTGATTGATCATAACCGTGTGGAAGAGATTCAGCCTGGAGCTTTCTCTCAGCTCGGCTTCCTCAACCTTCTCTCTATCACACACAACCAACTGGTCTACATCCCCAACTTGGCCTTCCAGGTACACCAGCCTTCACAGAACATCTCCAAAGAGAAACATTCTTACACATATAAAAACCTAAATAATTTCTGTTCAAATAAATCTTTTTTTTTTTAGAATTAATCCTTGATCAATCTTTATTGCTTATCTTAGATTTTGACACTATCAAGTACAAGTAATTACTTAACAACTACTTTTTCAAACTAGTTATTTTCCACATTCTTATTCCAAGTTACTTGTGTTGTTGACTTTCTTTGTTGTTATTTATTATTCTATTTAATTATTTTTGTAATAAAGTTTCTAAAGACAAATTTGGTCCTTTCCTCATAAGGGCAACTATTTCCTTGTTATGGTAAGAGTTCCCTGTGATTAGCAAATTCCACTTTCTGTGACTGAGCACTCATTATTAAATGATGAATGAATGAATTATAATGAATAAGAAAAAAAAAGAATAAAACAAGGAGCTCAATGTCCCAGGGCCCCAGTAACCCATGGCCAGGCAAGTGGAGGGTAGCTTCCCAGTGCCTTAGGGGGGGGGGGGGGATGGGCTCTGATTGTTTTGTGCCTATGTGCCAAATGGCAGTTCAGAGTATCTGGCCCACTTGGAGTCCTTAGCTGGGGTGCCGGAAGATGGGCTAGCTGAGGACTCCTTCATTCAGCTGGGGGTCTTCAATGCCCGTGTGGGTAATGACAGTGTAACCTGGATGGGCATGATGGGGAGGAACAGTCTCTCTGATCTGAACCCGAGTGGTGTTCTGTTGTTGGACTTCTGTGTTAGTCATAGTTTGTCCATTAAACCATGTTCAAGCATAAGGGTGTCCATAAGTGCACTTTGCACCAGGAGGCTTTTGGTCGCAGAACAATGATCGACTTTGTAGTTGTATCATCTGATTTGTGGCTGCTTGTTTTGAACACTCAAGTGAATAGAGGAGCTGAGCTGTCAACTGATCACTTCCTGGTAGTGAGTTGGATCAGATGACGGAGGAAGATGCCAGACAGACCTGGTAGACCCAAATGTGTAGTGAGGGTCTGCTGGGAGTACCTGACAAAATAACCTGTCAGAAAGATCTTCAACTCACACCTCCAGTAGAGCTTTAACTGCATCCCAGCTGAGGCGGGGGACATTGAGTCCAAGTGGGCCATTCTCTGCACCTCAGTTGTGCCTTGAACTGTGGCCGCAAGATTGTCATTGTTGTTTCTCGCAGTGTCCATTCACAAACTCGGTGGTGGACACCCCGGGTTAGGGAGGCTGTCAAGCTGAAGAAGGAGTCCTATTGGGCCTTATTGACTGTTGAGGTGGCTGGACACTAGACCAGCTCTTTACCCTCACTAGGGTCCTCGAGGGGTCATGGTAATTTGCCCGTCCAGTCTACATGTGTATTGTGGACTCGGAGAAGGCATTTGACCATGTTCCTTGGGGTACAATGTGAAGGGTGCTCTGTGACTTGGGATTGGGGGCCTCTTGTCACGGGCTGTTCGGTCCCGTACAAATGGTGCAAGAGTTTGGTTTGCATTGCTGGCAGTAAGTCGAACACTTTCAGGGGTGGAGTTGAACTCTGCCGGGGCTGCCAGTTGCCACCGATTCTGTTCATAACTTTTATGGACGGAATTTATCTGTGCAGCTGGGGTGCAGAGGGAGTTCGGTTTGGTGACTTTGGGATTCCATCTCTGCTCTTTGCAGATTATGTGGTCCTGTTGGCGTCATCGTGCCGTTACCTTCAGCTCTCACTGGAGCAGTTTGCAGCAGATTGTGAAGCAGCAGAGATGAGAATCAGCACCTCCAAATCTGAGGCCATCGTCCTGTTGGAAAAGGGTGGTTTGCTCTCTTCTGTTCGAGGGTGAGGTTCTGCCTCAAGTGGAGGAGTTCAAGCATCTTGGCGCTTTGTTCACGAGTGAGGGAAGAATGGAGCGTGAGATTGACAGATGGATTGGTGCAGTGTTTGCAGTATTGGTGGACTCTGTGCTGGTTTGTTGTGGTGAAGAGGAAGCTGAGCTGTTAAGCAAAGCTCTCTGTTTACTGGTCAGTCTATGGTCCTACCCTCACCTGTGGGCGGCTGTGGCTGAGTGGTTAGAGCAGTCGTCCTCCAATGCGAGAGTTGGGGGTTGGAATCCACCAGCAGTCACATGCTGAAGTGTCCCTGGGCAAGACACTGAACCCCTCATAGCCTCTGATGTGTGTCCTATCGGTGTATGAATGTGATCTAAAAGCACTGATTAGTCTCATTGGAATGATTTGTTCAGTTAGCTTTGTAGAGATCTAGTAGAGTGCTGTGTGCATGGGTAAATGAGGGCACAGATTGTTGTAAAGCGCTTTGAGTATCTTGAAATAAGATAGAAAGGCGCTATATAAGTACAGTCCATTTACCATTTACCATTTACCTATGGCCTTGAACTCTGGGTAGTGACCTAAAGAATGAGATCATCAGTGTCAGGGAAGTTTTGGTCCACGGTTATGGATGTTTTTTATTAGTATGGCTGAGAAAATTCTTCCCATCTGCACTGAGAACAAAAAGCCCAAAACAAGCTGAAACCATCTACCAAGACACTATCATATCTTTGCCCATGAACCATATGTTTGTCTAAACAGAGAATGGGGTGTAAGGAGACTGCAGACTGTAAACAGACTGCTCGGCTTCAAGGACATCCCCTGAACTCTATGAACTCAGCTGAGCTGAGATGAGTATAAAAGTGAGCAGATAACGCGGCTCGTAACTTTTTTCTGTGACTGGTCTTAATGCATATTTTTATGTATGTTTATGTATATGTTATGTATGTAACCTGTCTTGAAATCTGACCTTGCAAGTATAAAATTTGGTTAAAGATCTCCTGCCGTTAAGTGTGGTTCTCTTGAGTAAATAACGTCAGAGAATCAGAATCAGAATAAACTTTATTGACATTGCACCGAGATACAACATGAATATGTACGTATAGTCGTCCGAAGATGGGCGGAGTGCACGAAGCTGCGGCTATAAATAAATAGCGCGGCCCTCTTATTCTTATTCAGAATAATATTTTGCTTAGATGAGAAAAGGAAAGAAAACATGAGGAGAGACGGTATAAAAAAAAAAAAAAGATCTCTCACTCCGTGTCCTAGACAGGGCACAATTTGAGGTATCAAAAAAACCTCCACAGCAAAGCAACATAAACAGACGTTATACATGAACATATAGGCGGTGAAGATGTTGAATTTTTAAGGGAAAGTCGTAGCATAGTCCAGAGCCCCCCCTCAGCCATTGTCCAGATAAGAGGTGACGTTCATCTTCAGCTCAGTTGAGGTGTTACATGTCCACGGCCTTGGGGAAGGGAGGGGTGAGGAGACAGTCAAAGCATCTTTGTTGTTTTCTGAACATTCCAGGAGGAGTTGAGATAAGTCCGGCATCAAGGCCACAGTTTGGGTCAGGCAGAACTCGTGAATTGTTGTTTCTGCCTTTAAAGTCTCGCTGGTACATATTCTCTGATGGAAACTCCAAAACAGCCAAATTGATCTTTTACTCCAAAAGTCGAGCTCACAGCTTCTCCAGATTATTCCCATCATTCATGAGTGCTGCCAGGGAGATCACAGTCCTGATACAGCTGCTCCAACTCCCTGTCGCAGCTCCACATTCAGTCTGAGTGCTGTCGAGCTTCAACACATCCACACGAATTTGTAGACAACCAGATTTCACCAACCAAACAGCAAAAACCAGTTGTCACCATGAATCCAATTGTTTCCGTTGAGGTAAGAGGGTCCTCCTTACCCTGACTCCTGTCGGGAGAAGTTGATCGATTTTGTTGAGAGACCAGCTGATCCTTCCAATTAAGAGGTATGCAGAAAAAAGAGGCTTTTTAAGGGTTCACAAGACAAAAGAGCGCAGCAGGGAAGCGGGTGGAGGGGAGAGAGAGGGAAACACGTCTGGTTCCACCGGAGAATAGCAGGAAAAAAAATAAAAAGAACAAGATTATTTCTCCAACAGTCAGCTATGCATTTAACATGTCAGTGTGAGTTGTAGAAGAGTATGATGAGAGTTAAGGATTTGTTATAAATAAGTTGCTCACAGGTTATAAATGAGAATGCTTCACAGTTGTATGATTGTACACAATTGTACTATTATGCTTCCTTGGATAGAGAACTTTACTAGTTGGCTTTTCTATGTATGTGAACGTTTCTGTAAAGTGTCCTGAGACTGTTATGAATTGGTGCTATATAAATAAGCTGAAATGAAAAATTGAATAGAATTTTCCAGCTGGTTTCTGACGTGTATGAACTTATACTTACCTGTTACCTTCAACTTGTTGCATACCTAGAACATGTGCCAAACTTACGAGCAACATGACAGTATTCACAAATAATGTGCATGTACAAAATTATTGGCTGGCATAAAAAAGGCCATCACATATCAGTGTGCTCGTAGCTTATGCAAAACGTTCACCAAACCTTATGACTTATCAGCATGTTGTTTTTTTCCCACATGCTGATGCTTTAATTAACTGGCCAACAATTTTCAGTCAGGTCATCTGGACATTTTTTTTTTTCTGAAACGTTTCACCTTCCATCCAGAAGGCTTCATCAGTCAAGGAAACACACGACACAAAACTGATTCTTCCCCCAACAGCTTACTCCAAAGTGGAACAAACCAGTTATGTTGGTGCTAAGATGGTGTCTTTGGCACGCCCCCTCCTCTGTTGCTGGCCCTCTTCCTTGTTGACAGTCATGTCAAACTGGTTCAAAACCAAAAAAGTCCATGCTCAATAATCCAGGTATACAATCTAACAATTTTCAGTCAGGTCATCTGGACAGTTTTTTTTTCTTTTCTGAAACGTTTCACCTTCCATCCAGAAGGCGTCATCAGTCAAGGAAACATACAACACAAAACTAATTCTTCCCCCAGATGACCTAACTGAAAATTATTGGATTGTATACCTGGATTATTGAGCATGGACTTTTTTGGTTTACATAACTGTGTGAGCTGCCCTCGTCGCAATATACTCCAAAATGCTCTGCAAATGTTCTACATAAGTTACACTAACGTTTGTAGAGGTTG